ATTGATAGACTAAACGAATGAACTTTGTAGTGGAAACAACCGTTTGTTTGTCTGTTATAATAGCTATGAAATCATATATAATTCTATATTGTTCAATATCAAATCCCTTTTTGGATATTGAATTATGATAATTATGAATCACTTTTCGATTTGAAAGAATGCAAGATTACTTCTTAATTTCGTATTTATAATAGTGTCTGTATTTCTACTGTGTCCTTTCTTTCAATATCAAACCAAAATAGAAACTGACTTCATTTTCTGAGTGAAAAGATTATATCATCTGATAATAGCAAAATGATCTGAATATTATAAATAATGGATATTTTGACGATTGTTGATGAGTAATATAGTCTTTGGGTAACCTAATACAAACAAACGATTTTGTCTTTCTTTATACATCTCGTTCATTGTAAGATTCCAAATTATCTTTTGTATTTGTTTTCGGTGAGTTTACTGTCTGTATGAGTTCCAGTTTAACAAGTAAACAATGAAGTATTTCGATGATTATCATGAAATATGAAACTATGTATATATTATTAATATATATATATAGGTATATATAGGATTGTTGAGATAGCTAAATATATCGAAATGATTAAACAGAGACAATCATATGACCTAAACACTAGACAAATGACTAATGTATATATAGTATTTGATGTGATATAATATAATAATACATAATCTAGACTAGAAATATATGATAAATAGAAAGATTGACTTAAACTGCTAGTTGGATGATGTTTTCTAAATGAATATTGAACATGATATATTAATATGAAATAATGATAATAATAGAACAGGAAATACGATAATGTGAGTTTGCTAAAAACAATAGTTTTGAATGTTAATTTTAAATACTAAATCTGTTAATTATGATAGAATATAAATTATGTATAATAATCAAATGATTGTTCTACAAACGTTAATAGATGCAGGCAAACAATTGTGTATTTAAACTGATATATTAAATCATCATAATTTCAAATAATATTTTATATTTTGTTTCATGAACGTTACAGTATGATATATATATATATGAATGCTTAATATAGGATCCGAATAACCCTAACCAGCAACCTGTTGTTGTCCCTACTCCTGAGATGCAGACTATGGTACAACCTGTGGCACAACCGATGGTACAACCGATGGACCAAGCTGTTGTCCAACCGATGGCACAACCAATGGCACAACCGATGGCACAACCAATGGCACAACCGATGGCACAACCACAGATTGATGGTATGCAACAATCTATGGTAATGACTGGAGTTCAAACTCAAGTAATATATGGAGTGGTGGCCGTACCACAAGAACAACATAAAAGTAGCCGCCAGCTGAGGATAGAAAACTGGTATTGCATATTCAACTGACTTCATGATTAGGCATTATGGTTGTACACCATTAGTTAATAAATGCAATGGAGTAGTAATCTTCATATTGAGTCTTCTGTTTGGAGGTAATTGCAATACTATATATAAGTAATATTTAGGTTTGGGTACCTGTATTGGCGGCTGTATGGATGAGAGAGGGTGTAATTGTAGTGTTGTTTGTCTTGGAATCACCCAATTAATCTTTGTTGCTGCCTTTGGTGTTGGTTATGTCTGGTCGTTTATATCGGGCTTAATCACTCTATGTCGTGCATACTAACACTCATTTTCATTTTATGTGTTGCTTTTTTGTTTCAGACACGATACATCCATCTGTGTTGCTTACATGAAAACAATAGTTAATTGTTAAATAATAACAAAGAGAAGTATATATATTATTTCAGTTTAAGACAATTTCGTGAATCTATACAATCAGAAATGCAGCAAGGCATTATTTGTAAAATGCAATGTGAATCAATGTTTGAAGTATCTAAATTATCATGTAAAACAAATTTTATCCATTTTGTATTTGAGAGTTGTGAGAAAAGAAGACTATTGTACAAACGTAGTTCAGTGACTATCTCAAAGAATTATTTTTAAACAAAACAATTCATAGAATGAAGATGAGTGTTAGTATGCACGACATAGAGTGATTAAGCCCGATATAAACGACCAGACATAACCAACACCAAAGGCAGCAACAAAGATTAATTGGGTGATTCCAAGACAAACAACACTACAATTACACCCTCTCTCATCCATACAGCCGCCAATACAGGTACCCAAACCTAAATATTACTTATATATAGTATTGCAATTACCTCCAAACAGAAGACTCAATATGAAGATTACTACTCCATTGCATTTATTAACAAAAGGAGTACAACCATAATGCCTAATCATGAAGTCAGTTGAATATGCAATACCAGTTATCTAACGCTATCTGGCGATCGGTCTTAGGTTCCTGCTGCATTGGCATCATTCCATACACTACCTGAGGTTGACCTCCGGGCATTACCACTGGTTGTTGAATACCATCAATCTGTGGATGTCCCATGGGCTGCATCACAGGTTGTCCCATGGGCTGCATCACAGGTTGTCCCATTGGGGCCACCATTGTCTGTGCCATCGGTTGCCCCATTGGCTGCCCCATCGGTTGTGCCATCGGTTGTGCCATTGGTTGTGCCATTGGTTGTGCCATTGGTTGTGCCATCGGTTGGACAACAGCTTGGTCCATCGGTTGTACCATCGGCTGTGCCACAGGTTGTACCATAGCCTGCATCTCAGGAGTAGGGACAACAACAGGTTGCTGGTTAGGGTTATTCGGATCCTATATTAAGCATTCATATATATATATCATACTGTAACGTTCATGAAACAAAATATAAAATATTATTTGAAATTATGATGATTTAATATATCAGTTTAAATACACAATTGTTTGCCTGCATCTATTAACGTTTGTAGAACAATCATTTGATTATTATACATAATTTATATTCTATCATAATTAACAGATTTAGTATTTAAAATTAACATTCAAAACTATTGTTTTTAGCAAACTCACATTATCGTATTTCCTGTTCTATTATTATCATTATTTCATATTAATATATCATGTTCAATATTCATTTAGAAAACATCATCCAACTAGCAGTTTAAGTCAATCTTTCTATTTATCATATATTTCTAGTCTAGATTATGTATTATTATATTATATCACATCAAATACTATATATACATTAGTCATTTGTCTAGTGTTTAGGTCATATGATTGTCTCTGTTTAATCATTTCGATATATTTAGCTATCTCAACAATCCTATATATACATATATATATATATTAATATATATACATAGTTTCATATTTCATGATAATCATCGAAATACTTCATTGTTTACTTGTTAAACTGGAACTCATACAGACAGTAAACTCACCGAAAACAAATACAAAAGATAATTTGGAATCTTACAATGAACGAGATGTATAAAGAAAGACAAAATCGTTTGTTTGTATTAGGTTACCCAAAGACTATATTACTCATCAACAATCGTCCAAATTATCCATATTTTATAATATTCAGATCATTTTGCTATTATCAGATGATATAATCTTTTCACTCAGAAAATGAAGTCAGTTTCTATTTTGGTTTGATATTGAAAGAAAGGACACAGTAGAAATACAGACACTATTATAAATACGAAATTAAGAAGTAATCTTGCATTCTTTCAAATCGAAAAGTGATTCATAATTATCATAATTCAATATCCAAAAAGGGATTTGATATTGAACAATATAGAATTATATATGATTTCATAGCTATTATAACAGACAAACAAACGGTTGTTTCCACTACAAAGTTCATTCGTTTAGTCTATCAATTCGTTTGTATCAATCATTTATAGAATCCTTATTTATATATTACATATTTTGATACACACGAATTTACAATTACAAAACGAAACAACAAACAGCAAACACAAAACACAAAAACATAACACATATTATGGATCATATTTAAGTATAGTTTAATTTATCGTCCATTATCATTGATATGAATACATAGAATTATTGAATCATATCGTCAAAATCGTTATTATACAAACCAAAGAAAAGTATATCTAAACAATTGTTAGAATTGGTCCATTAGTATATATTTGATGTAATTCATACTATATTCACTAGTAAATATATCATTAACACAATATTTAGCAGCATTTTAACCATTTTCTAAATTCCGATGTATAGTAGTTTATGTTTATTATGAATCATCGACAATTATCAATTCAGCCAAATACAAATCATGTTTATATTTCAAATTTCATTCCATGACACGAAATAAACATAATAATCTATAGAATGACAAATATCCAAATTTGACAAAACTAACTTGTACTAGTTATGAAATCAATCATTTGGTTAGCTATTTGTATTATGAATGATATTCATATTTCTTGTATCATCATGATAGTCAGAATCAAGATAATATAACATTTTGATGAATTGAACGAACTTGTAAATGTATATGATGATTTTGAATCTGTGTAATTTGAAGAATAATGCTTTGTGTATAGGATTGTGTCAGGATTGAAGCAACTGATCGAGTATACGACAACTATTCATGTTACAATTTTACGTAAGAAATCAATCCAAGGTACATATTGCAAAAATAAGGTTCAGCAACTAAAAGAGATGTAAACTCCAATCGGTGATATAACAAACAAACTACTGGTCTTTTTTAGCAGCAAGGACAGGCGATCGTGGTATATCTTTTTCTTCTCCAATCTGTTTAGATGTCTCAACAACCTCATTATCCACGGTCGTGATATTAACAAAGCTGATACCTACTCTTGAAACGGAAAACAACCAAGAAGAAATAGCAAGCTATCTCGCTTAAGAAGTCACAATCCTTACCTTCAGAGTACATCCGCAGATCAAGAACGCTATAGAGAAAATAGCGAGCGTTCCAATTCCAGTGTTTGATAAGAGTGGTTTGACAATACAATTCAACACAATAAAAAGGATCAACGAAGAATTGGCTATCACACTTTCGCCGATTCGTTCGGAGACTACATGAGTCGGCTGGCGTCAAGGAACAAAAAGAGAAAAGAAGAAAGAGAAAGGATATATCCAAGTCAAAGTTGTATTGTGTCGTTAAAAGATAATCTCGCTTTAAGAGTGCCATATAGTTGTTATAGATTTCTGGCGGCCAGCGATTCTGCTTCAACAGAATCATGTGTTTGAGCACAATTACCAACTACCCTTCACTCTCCTTTCTAAGCCTACTTCGTCCACCAAAAACAGATTGAGCACTTGGTAGAAAAACTCCATGTTCAGATCTGAAACTCACATCGATCCGAATCTCTCACCGTCTGTTTGATAGAGAAGGAAGGAACTAAGCAGAACGTTGATAATAAACGCATTTCGCTCCGTGATGTCCCGAGTGGAGTGGTCAAACAGATTGATTTCGTCACATTTCTTGTATACTGTCTTTTTCAAGTATTTAAACTTACGAGACACTGTATAGATTATATAAGTTTGCGGATTCATCTATTCGTGATCTCTTGCAAAAGGGCATGCGTTTAGAGCCACGTTGAACGTAATAAAACTAAAATACTTCACGCTGGAAAGCACCGCGACGAACACAAGCGACAAAACCAAATCTTGAACGAGCTGGAAGATCTGCTTCCACCCTTGCTTTCTCCGAATACAATAAAAGAGAGCATCGGAAACGTTCTAAGAAAGTAAAAAGAACAGAGCGAGATAAAAGTACGTGCTCAATCGAGGTGACTAGACTGTCAAATGTGCCCAGGATGTTCATGATCAGATAGATCTTGAAGCCGCTGATACTTCGAATGTAATGGTATCTAGATCAAAGAAACTCAGAATCAAGCACAGATAAGAGAAATTATAAAGAGAAATCACGTAGCAGCCCCAACAAACGAGAAGCAGACGGACGAAATCGAATACATAACTACTGTAATCCTGAATGAATCGAGATGTCTTCTTTCCCACTATGATGAATGAAACAGCAATATCCAACATGACACGATAGAGTACAGAAAAGAAAACAAGAAGATCATGGAGCGGAGAATGAGAAAAGTAAACATGTATCCGATCACATCCAGAGAAAGGATAGAAGCGAAGTTTACAAGCCTCTCCTCATAGTAGGGACTTCGAAAAAAGTTCAAAAGCAATCGTTGGTTTGCTTTTTGGGTAGGTTCGCCAGTTCGCCGATTCCAGAACAATTGGCTCTATCCATCACTCATAATAAACGCAATTACCCATATAAATTCCTTTATCTCAACAGCTTCTGATTCGAGCACCGGGCTTTTTTCTGATATTCCATCTTCTTTCGAATCGTCGAAAGCGAGAACGAGATCATCGCTATTATATTACGAAAAATGGAAGCAGTACAAAGATTGGTATTTGGCCATTTTTGTCTTTGATTTTTCTTTTCTACATGGACTCTACTACTCAGATTGAGTGTTCAATATGACTTACCAGCTTGGGGGTGTCAAGATCACGTTTAATAGCCAATAATTGAGCTTCCAAAAAGTCAATCCGTGCCTTTAACAGTTTTATATCCATATCTTTAGTTGTGGCGTCGGCATCCATGATGGGTTAGAAAAAGATGGCTGCTATCTACTCTTTGTATCACTACTACCATACTGTTATTATTACTATGATTTGATTATATTATCCTATTCTGTATACTCTACCCGAGTAAACTTGGGTCGGAGATACTAGTGACAGAGTAGATTAATGGACTTGGGAACCCTGATTAACCATCGGACTTCAATTAAAAAAATAGCAAAAGATAATCAGACAATGATGCCATTCGTCACATATTTTGTGGTTTTGCGTATTACTAGATTAACGATACTCTAATTATCTAGTTCTCTTGTTTCAAGTGTCAAATGCTGACGACTCTATCAGTAGAGAATTTTTGTGAAAATACTTATTAAGGTGATGCTGAACAACTTATTGCAAAACTAAAAAAGCAAAACGAAGAACTAATTAAAGAGAATGCCAAATTGAAACAGCTTTATACATCCTGTGTACTTTATTTCCAGTGGAATTGTAAGATAGTCACAAAGAGTGAACTCTTCTCAGCGAAAGAAGGAAGCTGCGGATAAACAGGTGGCTGCGTATGAGATGCAAATAGCAGAGCAAAAAGAGGAAATTCAGAAATGTTCTGTGGAGAAATTCAATTTCCAAGCTGAAATTACCTCTCTCAAGTACTTGATTTTGTTTTCCTGCGACTTTCTAGAGAGCAGCTGGCAGCAGCTGCCGATCAAATTGCAAATCAAGGCGCCGCCAGAGTTGATCCCTTTTTGGAGGGAGCGAAGATCGAACATGAGCAGTTTGGCAGTCGAATTATCTCCGAAAGTGAACGTCAGGTTTGTTTCCACCTTCGTCTCAATTTCCAGAGAAACCTTTTGTTAGAAGAGGCGGAAGAAGTGGGAAATGGTCCAAAGGACATTGCACTGTTTTGCGCCTCCGTTTGTTTCACGATGGTTTTTTGTTTGTGTAGTCCCCACAAATCCGTATTTCGGACCTGGATCGCGATCTGGTGAGAAAAAATATTTGCTTGTTGTACCTAAAACCCTTGGTGACGTGTAGGCAGCTCCAGTTAGGTTCTCCTGAGTTGCAAACACGTCTTTTATTGTACTGTGATGGAATTGTAAATTTTGAGTCATACTCTGTTTTCTGAATACGTCATAAGATGACTGCATATGAAACTAGATATTCCGCGGGAAATTCGATAGAATCTCACTGTGGTCTGAAGAATGTTCGATCAATTTCAATAGAAGTTGTTACTTATTTATTAATTTATTTATTTATTTGTTTAGTTTTTTTATAATGTCTTCTGAATTGATTTGGGACGCTACTGGATCGGATCTGAAGGGTCGTTTCTCTCCTGAGCTCTACAATCAGCTGGATGCCATTTTCAAGCCTAACAACGTGGCTCTGATCGGAGCTTCGGAGCGTGCTGGAAGCGTGAGCAGAACCATTCTGCTGAACCTTCTGCTGACCCCCTTCGGAGGAGGTGTGTTCCCCGTAAACCCCACTCGTAGCAAGGTGCTTGGAATCAAGGCCTACAAGACGATTGGAGACGTTCCGGAGCAAGTTGATCTTGCTGTGATCTGCATTCCCGCCAAGCGTGTCTTGGGCGCTGTTCATGAGTGCGGAGAGGCTGGAGTTCGCGGAATCATTATCATTTCTGCCGGTTTCAAGGAGGTCGGAAAGGAGGGAGCTGCTCTGGAGAAGGCGTGCGTGGAGGAGGCCCACAAGTACGGCATGCGCATCATCGGCCCCAACTGCCTGGGAGCCATGGTGCCCATCACGGGTCTGAACGCTTCGTTCGCCAGCACGATGGCTCTGAAGGGAGAGGTCGCCTTCATCAGCCAGAGCGGAGCTCTGATGTGCGCCATGCTGGACTGGTCGCTGAAGGAGGGTCTCGGCTTCTCGGCGTTCGTGTCGATCGGTTCGATGGCGGACGTCAACTGGGGCGACCTGATCTACTACTTCGGCAACGACCCGAACACCAAGGCTATCATGATCTACATGGAGACGATCGGCGACGCCCGCTCCTTCCTGTCTGCGGCGCGTGAGGTGGCTCTGCGCAAGCCCATCGTGGTGATCAAGCCGGGCCGCACTGCCGCCGCCGCCGCTGCGGCTGCCTCGCACACGGGCTCTCTGACGGGTTCGGACGACGTGCTGACGGCCGCGTTCAAGAAGGCGGGCGTGGTGCGTGTGGACACCATCGACGAGCTGCTGAACATGGCTGCGGCTCTGGACAAGCAGCCCCTGGCGGCGGGTCCGCGCATGACGGTGATCACGAACGCCGGAGGCCCGGGTGTGATCACGACCGATGAGATCGTGACGGGCGGAGGCCAGCTGGCGAAGGTGTCCCCGGAGGCGATGGAGCAGTACAACTCGTTCCTGCCCGCGGCGTGGTCGCACAGCAACCCTGTGGACGTGCTGGGCGATGCGCCCCCAGAAATGTACGCGAAGGCGCTGAAGGTGGCCGGTGATGACCACGAGAGCGACGGCATGCTGGTGATCCTGACGCCGCAGTCGGTGACGAAGCCGACGGAGACGGCCGAGGAGCTGGCGAAGTACGCGCACATCGAGGGCAAGCCCGTGCTGGCGTCGTGGATGGGCGGCAACGACCTGGAGAAGGGTCGCCAGATCCTGCGTGAGGCGGGCATTCCGGTGTTCGAGTCTCCGGACACGGCGGCGAAGATCTTCAACTTCTGCTGGGAGTACAGCAGCCATCTGAACGAGCTGTACGAGGTGCCCAAGGCGCCGCTGCACAGCGCGGACCCCTCGGAGGCGCAGAAGATCATCGAGAAGGCGCTGGCGGAGGGCCGCAACCTGCTGACGGAGAACGAGTCGAAGCAGCTGCTGGCGAGCTACGGAATCCCCGTGGTGCAGACGGTGGTGTGCGAGACCGTGGAGAAGGCCGTGGAGACCGCGGAGGGCATGAAGTACCCCGTGGTGGTGAAGCTGAACTCGGAGACGATCACGCACAAGTCCGACGTGGGCGGCGTGCAGCTGAACATCCGCGATAAGGAGGGCGTGGTGACCGCGTGGAACACGATCCGCAACAATTTGGAGAAGCTGGGCAAGCTGGACGGCTTCCAGGGCGTGACGGTGCAGCGCCAGCTGAACCTGAGCGACGGCTACGAGCTGATCTTCGGCTGCAATCTGGACAACCAGGTGGGTCCGGTGATCGTCTTCGGAACCGGAGGCACGCTGGTGGAGGTGTACAAGGACTCGAACATGGCGCTGCCGCCACTGAACACGGCACAGGCTCGCCACTGCATGAGCAAGACCAAGATCTACAAGGCTCTGAAGGGAGTGCGCGGCAAGGCGCCCTGCGATCTGGACCTGCTGGACCAGGTGTTCGTCCGCTTCTCCGAGCTGATCTCCGACCAGCACTGGATCAAGGAGCTGGACATCAACCCCATGCTGGCCACGCCCACCGACATCATCGCGCTGGACGCCCGTGTGGTGCTCCATGCGCCCGGCACCCCCGTGGAGAAGCTGTCCTACACGGCCGTGCGCGGCTACCCGCACCAGTACGTGAGCTCCGTGGAGGTGGACGGCAAGGAGCTGGCGGTGCGCCCCATCCGCGCTGACGACGAGCCCAAGATGGCGGAGTTCGAGCAGGCGCTGAGCGAGGCGACCGTGGCTGCGTACATGGGCGAGGCGGTGTCCGTGGAGACCCGCACCAGCCACAAGCGACTCATCCCCGTGTGCCACGTGGATTACGACCGCCAGGTGCCGCTGATCGTGCTGGAGGGAGAGAAGGTCGTGGCGCTGGCCCGTGTGGCGAAGGTCCCGCTGACGGAGCGCGCCACGCTGCAGCTGGAAGTGGCGGACGCCTACCAGAAGAAGGGTCTGGGCAAGAAGCTGGTGGCCAAGTGCGTGGAGGCCGCGCAGAAGGAGGGCGTGAAGGAACTGGTGATGAAGTACTTCGAGGAGAACGAGGCGATGAAGAAGCTGGCCGCCGCCTTCGAGTTCGAGGTGGCTGTGAAGGACGGTGTGGTGTCTGCGAGCAAGAAGTTGTAAGTAGTGTAGTAATTTAGTAGCATTGTGATGTGTTTGTTGCAGTCGTGCGTTGTTTTTTATTTTTGATTGTTGCCTGGCTTGATGATGATGATAGAGAGTAAGAAATGACAAATCTAAATCCTGATTCACAGTTAGAGTTGCGTAGGTATTCAACAAACACAGCACTCAATCGGGTTGGCCAAATCGCTGTAAATGCCCTTCGTGTTCTCTTCAGCGATTGGCTTCTTCTCTGGAATGGGCGGGAAGGAGCTTCGCACCAGCGATGGCTCCATATGCGGCATCGGCTGCGTTCGCTCCACCTACACATCACCGTTCCCTTTCTCACCTGCCTCTTCCTGCTGCTTTCGACGCTCCTGCTGATCGCGGGACTCCCAGAGAACACTATTCCGATCGTTCATCAGACAGATCGATTTCTTCACTTGACGACGCTCCTCCAAGAGACGCTTTCGGTTCTGCGATAGGTCTCGCTCTCGACTTACGGCCAAGATCTACAAAAAAAGTATAAAACAGACTAAATTCATGATACTTTGGTGTGCTTAATGATGTGAGCCTCGGGAAGGGGAGGAAAGAACGAAGTCGACCCTGTTTTCCTACATTTACACATCACATAATACGCCTACGAAGACGGTTCTTCTTTATTTGAGCTATTTAGATAATTAGAATTGTTTAGAGCTGAAGGTCAGCAAAATAGAACGGAAGGTACGGAATGGGAATACTGGAGGAAATTCGCGATCACTGCAATACTGCAATAAGTAGGGAATGGGGTATTTCTCATTCTACTCCGTTAATTCAAAATTGCTGCAAATACCACTGCAACGAGAAGATTTTGAATTACGACATTCGATCTATTTTCTAAAAAGGCTTCTGCGTTCGCCATTCGCCCAACTTCTTTTATATCTAAATGATTGCTAGCCAAAATGAATGATACATTCCATCATTATGTTTGCGATGGAGGTAACGACAGTTTCCGAAACATACTTTACATCCTTTTCCTTCAGCAACTGCGCTACCACCTTGCAGACTATATTATCAACGGGATTGCTTTGCATAGCAAAAGGATAAAAATCTATGCTGCCAAGAAAAATCTACAAAAGCAGCAACGCAGAAACGGATTGCTAAAATGAATGTGAACAAACAAGGAAAGGAACCGGCCTATAACAATTTGGACACATAAATGAATCGGATCGCACCTTCTGCTCATGAAATAGAAAAGAATAGCAAATACCACGTATTCGTTGCAAAATGGGCAATAAGCTGTGCTCACCTCCACGTCTGGATCTGTGAAAAATGACTTGATGGAGCGAAAAAAGTCGCTTGAGGAGAACGAATTGGGTCTGGGACTTTCAGGCTGAGCAGACCGCTTGTGATAGGCTTCCATGGAATCGGCTCGTGCCTTTAATGGTTACAAAAAGAGTCAGAAAGTACTTTGGAAAACATGAGAAGGACAGGAACGCCGTTTAGCTGCATGCATTGCGCGATCATATGGCTCGGAGAATCAAAAACCATGCGGTCTCCATCATTGTATAACACCCACACAAATCGTTCGCATTCATGGTCACATTCGCTGCACACACTGAAATAGTGACAGCCACGATAGATCACAAAGGCTTGGAGAATGTAGCTATCGTTGGAGGAAGGCTCGCAGAGGGAGTAAAGGAGAGAAGTAATCGCGGGAGGAGGAAGAGAGGGATCGGAGTAGACCAGACTGATCGTGAGAATGGGTGGACAGTGAGCGATTTCTTGCCTGTAAATTAGGAAAAGGGAGGTGGAGAAATGAACGTGGAGTGTAAGCTGCTGTGCATCGATTGTTTGTCACATTCAGGGCAGGAGATTCTGCAATCCGTCGTGTTCTCGTCGAGCTGGTGCTGAATCAAAGAAAGCACATCTGTGGACCAACTGCTCCCATTGACGAATTGAGATACGATGATGGGAACGTGCCACACCGAGTCTGTGTGCTGCTTTGAATACGAACAGTTTGGGCAGGACAGGGAAGTCTCTAGTTGGATTCCAAACAGCTAGGAAAAATATGGTCCAGATGGGAGTGCATTACAGAGTGAGCAATACAATTCGACGGGCATTCATTGGAGGGCAGATTCGAAAGGGGAAGCGCATTCCCCACTTCGTTCAGATGGAGCAGCTCCATGATGTCTTCCTATAATTGCTTAAAAAACCGGGAATTCAGGAGTACATAAGCTTCCACAGCATCCCCCATTTCTTGCATAGACACATGCTTGGCAGCTTGCAGAGCATGACGGATCGGCTCGGACGAGAGAAGCTGTCCGGGATTCTTCATTTCTTGCTCAATTGTCTGGAATCGTAATGCTGTGACACATTTTTATTACCTTCAGCGAACACAAGATGCACGCACAGTCGTCAGAATCTGTAGAGTTCTCTGCGTCTAATGAAAGTCTCAGTACCCACGAGGACTGTGGAGAATTTTCGACCCCCGAATGGCCTTTCGAAACTGAGGTTGATGAAACAGGACCTATGTCAAAGCTTCCGCGGATGACGACCTGCAGCACTGCATTGATAAAGCAATTATTCGCCAGAGGCTTATTCTGATACCCTTTGTACATTCTGAAAGGTTGCGTTTTGCTTCGTCATCTATTTATATATCCTAAGGCGACTTCTGCACGCCACTTTCACTCTCCAATATGAATACAACACAGAATCTTTACAAGGGTCAAACAAACAAGAGAAAGACTAAATGAATAATAAGATTCATTTCATCAGTGGCTAGTACGGTTTACAAAAATTCCTTTCTATCAGGGAGCTCTCCTGTGTGCTTCATCTCATTAATCTAGAACAGTCACCTATCGGGAGCGAAACATACCATACTCGTCGCTCTTCTCTTTGCGTATTGCTTTGTAACTTGGTCGAAGCCAGCAAAGCCAATCGCCACAACTGCAGTAGTAAGGAAGAAATTGATGACCTTCTACAGAGTAATGATCGATCGCTCCGTTCCCTACCATCTTGTACCGTTAAACTTAGAATATCACTGGAAACAATCGAAAAAAAGCTTCCTACTCCAATTGGAATAAACCCAAAAGAACCGCGGGTAGCGTTTCAAAGCAAAATGGCATGATTTCTAATCTACAAATCCAGCTTGGAACCTATAGCGGATAATGCCTATCTTAGCTGATTACTTCATTGTTGTGTCTGTACCACCAAAAGGTAGTTATCTATTTGTGCTTATCATCTCTAAGAGGAAAATATTGAATTGGATGGTGTTGAGCCTACGATTTTGTTCCGCTATCCTCAGCAAGATCATAAGAAACACCGATTTCCCGAGAACGCACCTTTTGTAATTACGAGTTTTCAATCTAATAGCTAGTTCTGTTTTCCGGAAGGAGCTCGAATTGAGTATAAAAGTAAGGAGGCTCGCAAGCCTTTCTTCTTTACCTTCTGCTTTACAGTTGAGTTTGTTTCGATGCGGGGAATGATATTTAGAGATGGATCCAGAAGTTATGGAACCACTCTCTATTATTTTGAGCCGCTGAGTCGTTTTTCCGAAAGTGGCTAATGTGTAGAGATAAACGGAGAAAAGCGCACCAACGCAAAAGGAAAGCAGCTCTTTGTTCCCAAAGCGCTCTGTCTGCTCTCTCACCAACCCATGTTTTCTGCCTTCGCAGTTTTTCTTCGGTAGCGGTCCTCGGCTCTCCTCACCCCAGAGAACTTTACCGGCATGCCATTGTAGTAACGGAAGACACCATAAACGATGACAACACCGGTCGTATCCGCAAATCCTCCTTCAGCTCAATGCTCCGCAAGGGATCGACGTGCAACATCGCCGATGACTCCCTGATCGTGGAGTGTCCCGTGGAGCGTCAGATCCGCTATTTTGTGGACTTCTGCCCCTCGCTGGACCCTTCTCTCCAGCTCAATGCATGCCTTCAAAGCTCGCCTCACCTGCAGATGATCGTCTTCAACAAACTCATCGAAATCGTCATGCCTCCCGCGCACTGCTTCCCGTTCACCGACAAGCTCTGCTTTGAGTCCTTGCTGAACTCGCTGTCGCCTCGCAATATCGTCAAGGTGGTGGCCGCGCTGCTCCAGGAACAGCGCGTTCTGCTCGTCTCCACGCAGATGGACACGCTCACGCTCTGCGCCGAAGCCTTCATCTCTCTGCTCTACCCGTTCAAGTGGATGCACCCGCTCGTCCCGCTGCTGCCCACCCAGCTGATCGAGTACTTGGAGGCTCCGACGCCGTATCTGATGGGCGTGACGTCGCAAGTCTACGACACGGAGGAGTGCTTGGCGGCGACGGACGGCGTGGTGGTGGTGCAGCTGGACTACGACAAGCTGCTGATCCCCAAGAGCGTGAAGGTGGAGTCCTTCCCCAAGTCGTTTGTGAAGAAAATGGAGGGCTTCTTCGCCTCGACGATCCCTCCTCCATCCAGTACCGGCTCGTTTTTGCGTGGATCATCGCCTAGCTCGCATCCTCTACTGCGACTCCATCAATCCCATGCACTCCGCCTATCTCGTCTTCGAGGTCATGTTCGGTCCCGGCAAGCTCGGCATCAAGATGAAAACCCGATCACAGTGCCTCACCGAGGGCGACAAGGAGATCGAGGTCGTCTATCTCGAGAACGTGCCCGACGACGACGTCACCATCATCGGTCCCGGCCGCCGCGTCCCGCTGCTCCGCAAGGAGCCCGTCATTCTCGCTGTCAACGGCAAGAGCGTCATCGGGAAGAACCACCGCGAGGTCCAGAAGGTCCTCATGGAGGCGCCCCGCCCGCTCACGCTCCGCCTGCAGATCGGCACCGCGCCGCAGACGCTCGGCGACAACATCTACCAGTCCCTCCGCACGCCCTCCGTGCTCAGCCCCGTCTCCGAGCTCCCGACGCTCGCCGAGGACGCGTCCAGTCCGGAGAGCGAAGAGAAGGACCACCACGACGAGGCGTCTGCAGCGTCTGCGGCGTCGCACGAACCCATGTCTCCGGTGGAGCTCTCGCTGGAGGGCACCACGCCGGTGGAGGTGACGCGCCGACCGTACAGTCCGCTGAGTCCGCGCGCGGCGATGGCGGCGGCGGCGTCTGCGGGAGGAGAAGAAGAGGACCGCGTGGTGCGGCGCTATTACCGCGAGCGAAGCAAGCGAAGCCTGCTGAGCGAGGACGGGGAGGGAAAGCAGCAGGACGAGGGCGACGAGGAGGAGCTGGACGGAGAGGAGGGCCGGAGCATCTTCGTGGAGCAGCTGCGCACGTACTTCTTGCTGGAGCTGGTGGAACTGCTGAACGGATACGAGAAGTTCGTGCGAACGGAGGAGAACGTGGATCCCGAGAAGGTGTTCAACACCAAGGCGTTCTTGAAGCAGGTGGACGAGGAGAGCAAGCCGCTGCTGAAGGCCATCTGCAAGACGCAGCTGTTCTCGCACTTCGTGCACGACGCGTACGAGTACGACGACAATTACGAAGTGCGCGTGTTCAACGAAGTGACCGAGATCTACCACGAGCTCGGGGAGTACACCGAGGAGTATGTGGTCGGAGCGCTGTCACCGGTCAATTGGACCAAGCACGAGGTCGATATCGCGCCCTGCGATCTGCGCGGACTGCCTGCGGGGTAGATTGTGATGATGGAGGGTGATATGTAGATGGGAGGGCACGGTGTTTGCGCGGGATCCGGAGCTGTTCCCTGAGCTCGATAGCGAGCTCTTTGGAGAGCCTGTGAAGCGAATGAAGGTGGAAAAGCTTCCCGACCAGGACACAGGCACGCTGATCCCCAAGGATCTGAAGGCATTGAAAAAGGAGTTGAAAGCGAAGGCAAAATCGAAGTCTAAATCGAAGTAATCGTATTTTTGTGTGAACTGTTTGCTTGAAAGGTGTTCTGTAGGGGAAGGATAACAGGCGGGTTTGGCTCAGTTGGAAGAGCGCGGGTCTCATAATCCCGAGGTCGTGAGTTCGAGCCTCACAACCCGCATTCTTTTTTATTTTTATCGATTCCTTTATTCAGTTTTGTTTTGGTACGTGGATTTGAAAGTTTGATATCTTGCACAGAAATGTTAAGGACAAATAAAATAGATAGAAACGAGCAAGGAAACGTTACCTCACTCACTCACATACATCCATGGCGAGTCTCTCTTGAACCCTTTTCGGTTAAAACTTTCTCGTCTTGCATAATACCACATATCATAAAAATCATTGCACCTTCTCTTAGAACCTTGACTTAAAACCATGGCATCAACAGGTCGTGTTTTATGGACCACCGATCCTTCCAGTGCATTGATCATTCGGATCCCATCGTCGTACGTCGGTAACCGATGGGAACAGACTGTATCTAGGCCTTCTTTCGTGCGTTTCTCTAGGAACTGAACAGATGTCGTACTTGCCTCTTACTATACAGTGGATACCTGTATGCAAAAAATAGCGGGAGAGCAGCCGTGTAGGTGGCTTATCTTTCGAAAAGTTCCAAAAGGCTTTATGGGGCGCCATTAGGTACAATGTGGAGAGAATTCGGTATGACATTCATCTATAGAATATCTATGTGGATAATAACAGCCCGTAGCGTGATTTTCCACGAAGTGCAGAAAAACGAAGTAATTGGGTGTATGGGAAATAGGGGTGATGGATTAGTTGCATTCATATCCTTTTTCAAAAAGCATGGAAAAGAGGAGGTCGTGAAAAATCACTTTGTGTCCACTACGTAAGTCCCAATAATCTGAACAAGCGATTTGTGAAGTATCAAAAGGTTCAAGGAATCGAATCTTCTGCTTTTAGGTTCCAGGGTCGAATAGACATATTTTACAAAGTGCATTTGTGCGCGAGGGAGCAAAAAGAAGCAAAACGTTCCGTTATTCGGGCGAACAAGAAAACACAAAATGACCACTATGATAAAGAAAGACAATTCCGACGTGAAAATGGCAAAAATTGCATGAATTATAGGGTATTTGTTTGATAGAAAGCGGGATATTTGTGGTGATACGTCCTAATTAAATTCTGTCGAGACCAGCCACCTTGGTTCGTCACTATTTTTCTGATCTAACGCTGTTATGAGAAACGTCACTGTCGCTGCCACTCAGATGACCTGCACGTACGTTTAGTGCAGGTGTGTGAGGGATAGGCAAGTTGTGGATGAGAACATTGCCAAGGGAGAGAAACTCATTCGTGAAGCCGCGGCTAAGGGCGCGCAAGTTATTCTGTTGCAGGAGCTTTTCAGCGATTGGTATTTCTGCCAAGTTTGTTTTTGAGCCGTTTTCCAATTCTAGGACGAGAAGCAGTCTTCCTTCTCGAAGGCCGAACCTGCTGGCACCAGCAAGCTGATTTCTCACTTCAGAAAAGTGGCCAAGGAATTGCAGGTGGTACTCCCCATCTCCTTCTTCGAGAGAGACAATCAGGCCTTTTACAACTCGATTGCCATCATCGACGCGGACGGAGAGGTCTTGGGAGTATACCGAAAGAGCCACATTCCCGATGGACCTGGATACGAAGAGAAGTTTTACTTCAGCCCAGGCGACACGGGCTTCAAGGTCTGGGACACGAAATATTGTAAACTTGGCGTTGCCATTTGCTGGGATCAATGGTTCCCCGAAGCGGCACGCATCATGGCTCTGATGGGCGCGGAGGTGCTGATGTATCCCACCGCCATCGGCAGCGAGCCGCAGGACCACTCGCTGGTCAGCAGCGGGCATTGGCGTCGCACGATGCAGGGCCATTCGGCGGCGAACTACGTGCCGGTGGTGGCGAGCAACCGCATCGGCGAGGAGTTCGGCGATAACAGTAGCATCATGTTCTACGGCACCTCGTTCATCACGGGTCCCACGGGCGAGGTGGTGGAGGATGCAGGTAGGAGCGAGCAGGGAGCGTGAGGGGTAGAGGATAAGGTGGATGTGGTGCTGACGCACACGTTCGATCTCGATCAGATCGCCGCGGCGCGAGCCAGCTGGGGAATGTTCCGAGATCGCCGACCGCAGCTGTACAAGCCGATCCTGTCGTTGGATGGACACACCATCCAGTTGTAATTAGCGTCTTTTGGTGTGTTTGTTGAAGCAAAGAGGAAAAGACACAATCAAGGTTGGCATTATTCCGAATTGTTGGATTCGGTTTGTGGGCGATCGAAGCAGAACGATACTCTGAACATGAGTGAAATCTCTATCGAAATTGTGAGAAACGAGAAGCGGTGATGAACATTAGAACACCATCGAGGAATATGAAACGTACCTCAAAGAGAGGAGACGAATGCACGAATTGATGAAGGAAGATAATTTGAATTCCTTTCGAGATGCGTTTTCAAGTGTATTCGGCAGAATCTGTGAGTGAACGCCTAGACACGACGCAAGCCCGATCTTTCAAAAGCATCCAAGTTCACAAACAAGGTCAAGGTGTTTACCGCGGACCAATGCGACTCTCTTGTAACTCAGCTGGATTCCCTTAGCTTGTCGAAGTATGATAATGAAGTAGTGCATGCGGCCTCGCCCTTTCCACTAGATTGTAAAAGCCTTTTTCCAGAACTTGGCGGAGAACAAAAAGATGAAGAATTCAGACGCAATTTGGTTCGCAAAGTTCGCTGCCGAGCTGATTCGTCGCTACCCCTCAACTGTCCCCATGTTCGAGGAGGAGTTCAACACTGTTTTCGCACAGTACAAAGCGCAGCCCAAGCAGCCAGTGAATCGCATGTTGTTTTACGTGTACTGCGAATTGTGTCTATTCGGGTGCATCGGCAAGGAGAACGTCATCGGCAAGGTCCTCCGGCTCTTTTCCGAAACCGTACTTGATCATTCCCAACTTCTCTCACATGGCAGTCTCAAAACCCGTCAGTAACGCAGCTAATGATCTTATTTGCGGTGCAGTACGGTTTTGAGTTCATCGGCGTCTATCCGACCTATCTCATCTCCGAATTGGTGATTCAAGAAGTCCTTCAGAACTACGCGCCGCTCATCCAGCCATCGCTCCAAGGCCGTTTTCTGAGTCTCTTCGCGGACTACCACTCCGCTCTCGTCAAGAAGGTGAGACATCATGTCGAGCATCATCATCATGCGTAGGGCAACGAGGTCTGGGAACTTCAGTCCCAATACCATCGCGACGCACTGCATCAAACAGCTCTGCGCGGCATGGTCTCCGAGGAGCTCGAAGCCAAAGAAAAGGACGCTACGCAGCAAATGAAGGAATTGAAAAATCAGTCCGATTTCTGGAATTCCATAATTCGCAGAATCAGCGTTCTCTCCAAAGCCTTGAATCTCGAAGAGCCGCAGTACATCGAGAAGGACGTCCAGACGCGCAGCGGCTTCGAGGTAGTCCCGCGGGGATTCTGCGATTTAGTCGCTGACGGTTTTGGTCCCTGACCGCGATTATTCGGGTCCTTTCGCGGACGAGGCGGAGCACATGTTCTATACGAACATTCCAAACCTCTCCCAGTTCGCTGCCTCCCCCGCGAAAACCGCGAAATCGACGCGTCCCCCAAAAGTGGAAACCGTGGAACGCGAACTCATCGAGCTGGACGACGACGTCGACGACGAAACGCCCCCCTTCGGCGAGGACGACTCCGACGAAACCGGAGAAACTGGAGAAACTGGAGAAACGGAGAAACCGGAGGTGGTGGAAACGAAGGAGGAGCGGCTGATGAAGGGATTGTTGGAAGTAAATAGCGCGGATACGGTGGATAAGGTGCGGGTTGTGCGCGCGTTTGATGTAGTGGTGCATGGAGTTCTGCGCGGTGAATTCGGCGGGGAGTCGGAGCCTGCTGCTGCGGACGATTCTGCGGTCGTACGTGCGGCATACGGAGCTGCATCGGTACTTCGCGCGCGTGATTCGAGAGATCCATCCGCTGTACGAAGCGCTGGGAAGCGAGGTGGAGAAGAGCGTGCGCGTGGGAGAGCGGAGAGAGCGTGAGGCGTAGAACCGGTTCGTGTACGAAATGAAAAAGGGAGGCGTGCAGTCGAGCCATCTGCTAGAGTCGGTGGTGCACTTCGTGATCGAGCTGGTCAAGATGCAGTGCTCCTCGCCGATTCTCTTTCTGTACTGCTTGAAGAAGCTCTGGATGGACCGCACGCTCCACCACATCCAGATGATCGCGCTGCTCGTCGAGTCGCTCGGACCGCTCATGCTCTACATCGAGGAAATGCAGGGAATCATGAACAAAGAGCTCGACCATGTCAAGACCGTCTGTCTTTCCAAGGTCGTCAATGCCGATTCCGCGGTTATCCTCATGAACGCGTACTATGTGTGTCGTCCCGACGAGCGTCCCGCGATTAAACGCGTGGAAATCCCGCCGCAGCAGCGCTATCTGCAGTATTTGCTCGGCGAGAAGCTGGAGAAAGCGCAGAAACAGCGCGATCTGGACGGGATCGTGTCGCGTCTGATGGAATTCAACATCTACGACACGACGACGCTGCTGCTGATCGTGCATGAATTGCTCGCCGTGCCGATTCGGTCCTCTCTGCTGGTGCAGAACGTGACGATTCTCGCGGCCAAGCTGGCGTACAACGTGCCCAGGCTGGGCTGCATGCTGATCGACCAGATCTACGAGCGGATTTTCTGCTTTTTGGACGCGATGGCGCGCGAGCGAATCCAGGAAATCACGAGTTTACTCGATTTGGTGGGCATGATGTTCGAATACAGCCTCTTCTCCGAAGACCAAATCGTCAATCTGCTCTATCTCTTCATCGAGTACGGACACATCGTATCCACGGTTCCACGTTTCTCCTTTTAGGCCACGCCTGACATGCGGAAACGTCTTTCCTTCCTCCCTTCGCGTCCCTTCGTCGCTCATCCGCTCGTTCCCTTCCTCCACGACCCTCCGCAAAACGTTTTTAGGCTTCGCCTTGCCGTGCAGCTCGCTTCGCAGTGCGCGCCCTTCCTCGATGAAACCGTCTTTGACGACTATTTAGTGTACCTGCAACACTATTTCCTCTGTAAAGTCGACGTGGATATCGAAACCATCAACGAGTACCAAACGCTTCTCGCCAATTTCTGCATCAACCCGCCGTTTAAGTCGTATATGGAGGCGGAGAACGCCGTCGCCGCGCTCGAAGTGAAGGCGGGAAATGGCGCTTCCCGCCCTTTTTTGCATTCGTCGATTTATGTGCTGGATAAGAACGAGGACACGGAGGAGAGCGAGAAGGCGGAGCAGATCGAGGAGTCGCTCTTTGCGGCCGAGTCGACGAAGCAAGTCGACGAGACGGAGTTAATGCTCGAGAAAAAGTATAATGAGCGGATGAAGGTGGGGCAGACGCAGATCACGAACCACCGTGTGAATCTGGATAACATGGTGATTCCGATGGATTTGCAGGGAGCGGCGCGCTCGCAGAACAAGGCTCGATTCTTTGTCAAGGGAAAGAATGGCGTTGCGGTGGCAGAAATTGAGCCGAGGCTGACGGAGGAACAACTGGAAAAGCAGCGGCTGCAACGGTTGCAGCAGAGTCGAGAAACGCGACGATTAAAGAGAAAGACGATCTTGTTGAATGAGGCGCAGGATATTGAGTTGGATGATTCTGTTTTGCCGAACACGAATGATCGCGTTGCTACAAGCGTTGCCTCGAGGTGGTAAGCGGGTTCTTTTTTCGACCTATTTCGTATTCGTGTCGATTCTTTTGTATTCAGTGATGTATATTGTTTGTTCTACTGCTTTGTTTATTACACACTATTACTGAATCTTGGAAGTTCTGTAGAATGTCCTATGCGATAAAGATTCGTATTCTACGCATGCTGCGAATTTCATTTCACAATTTGCCTTGATTCTTATTGTTTTCTGGTCGATTTTTGTATTCGAACACGGCAGAATTCCAAACAGCCGATGTGGGAATTATACTAGAAAAAATACAGGATCGTGACTCATTGGTCACGGCGGAATCTGTGGGCGTTTCATCGCCTTCCTGGCGTTTTCAATTCAATAGAATAGCTGGTGCCTTTCACATATCACATCGTTAATATGCCTGTATGATTTTGCTTGATCTGATTGCGTGTCTGTGCGCTGTTTGTGGAGAAGTTGCTCATGTTTGTCTAGATTCACTACTATCACGTTGTTGGTCGCAGACTTCCTACGGAGAACGATCCTGAGCCCGAAATTTTCAGAATGAGACTCTTTGCCCCCAACCCTGTGACTGCTAAGTCCCGTTACTGGTACTTCATGCACAGACTTCACAAGATGAAGAAGGGAACCGGAGAGATTCTCGCTGTGAACGAGGTTCGTGTTTGTGGAGCGGTTGGTGATTTTGCTAGATCTTCGAGAAGAGTGGCGAGGTGAAGAACTACGGAATCTGGCTGCGTTACAACTCCCGCTCTGGTACTCACAACATGTACAAGGAGTACCGCGACACCTCTCTGATTGGTGCTGTCAAGCAGTGCTATTCTGAGATGGCCGGTACCCACCGTGCTCGTGACCGATCGATCCAGATCATCAAGACCGCTGTGGTGGCCGATGAGGATCTGAGAAGACACCAGAACATCATGTACACTCACAAGAACGTGAAGTACGCTCTGCCTCACCGCCAGTACCGTGCTGAGTCCAAGAAGTACCGCAGCACCTTCCTTGCCACCAGACCTTCTACCTGCCGTCGTTAAGCATATTGATAAGTTGGATTGGCACAGTCGGTTGTTTGTTTCATGCATCAAACACGCAAATCGCTATCGTCCAGAACGAACCTTCGCTTCTTGGAGGAGGGGAGGAGCAGCGGCGCGTCTTCCTTCGGCTCTGCGTCGGTGGCGGTGGCTGCAATGGTCCGCGTTCGCTTGGGAGAAGAGTGGTCGTTTTCTTGCTGTTGGTTGGGTTGTCTGGGTTGTCTGGGCTGCTTGGGCTGCTTCGCTTTGGGAGCTCGTTTCTTGGCGATGCACTGGCGAACGATGGAAAGAATCCGCTGGAAGGTCTGGAGAGGAGCAAAATGGTATCCCATACATCGAGAGAAAGCGAAGCAGGCACGATGGCTTCCGATTCCTCGGGTTGCAACAACAACGAACGCAGGAGAATCGAAAACGAAGGCTTGCAAGACTCGGGCAGCGCGGAAGGGAAGGGAATCCGAATCTATCGATGAGAAACACGCAACAACTCGAAATAAAATTACCGATTGAGCAGGTTTGGCAGAGAGAATGAGCGAATTGGCTTCTTGAAGACGTGTTTGTTGCGCCTCCAAATCGATTCTAGTTCTCAGAGAAGGCAAGCATTTCTACAAGAAGGCTTCCATTAATTCCGAAACACTCTCTTGATCCATTCGATGGCTCAAACGCTTCAAATTGCTCTGAATGAATTCTTTGCGTTCGTCTTCCGATTTGGAATCTATAATCAATCCATTCATTTCTTTCAATGCAGAACTCGAATCATTCGAGCCCATTCCATCACTCCTTCCATTCTTCTTCTTTTTATTGGAATTCGATTCATCATTCCTTCCTTCCCCTCCATCGCCCAGTTCAATCTCCATTCTTCGCTTTCCCTTCGCTTCCTCCTCGTCATTCTTCTCTTCATCGCTCGACTCGATCACTTTCCGCTGGCTTTTCGCCGGCAACTCTTCCAATTCGAACTCCTTCTCGTCCTCATTCTCCATCACACGCGAGCGATCAAAATGCCGCTTAATTGACCGTCCTCGCTTCTCGTTCTCTGGCATCACAGGAAGCGAATCGAGATTCAATTCCGTTTCTCCCTGATTAATCGACCCATCCAACACGCTTTCAGCGAACGAAATGGAGGAATGATGGGAGGAAGGCGCGTGATATCCGCGAGCAATCAGCTGCGACGTGCTCGGGGTTTTGAGGAAAACAGCCTCGGCGAATAGAACGGGATGGGAAGCAGCTGCGGAAGCGAAAGAAGTGAACTACATCAAGAGATGACAAAGAAACGACGATTTTCTTTGCTAATTCGGCGAGTTCGATGAGATCGGAGCGCTCTGTGGATTTGTCTGTTTTCATTGTCGTTAAAGGATCGTGAAGAATGCGATTCAGTACTTCAAAGAGGAGAACGTTGAATAAATGAGGACGGAAAATCGCTTTGACTTCCGGATGAGACGCATCGTAGTCAGCGATTAATGTGGCATTCGCATTGTCGTCTGTGTAGCTGTACATGTTGTTAAAATAGTTAAATAAGCAGTGATTGATGTGAGGCGGATGGAACGAGTAATTGTACAACAGAAAAATGAACTTTTCGAAGACAAGCGGACGATAAATAATCACGTAGATGTACGACAAACTAAACGACAATTCGTGAAATTGGGACAATCGAAGCTCATCGCCTCGCTCTTCCTCGTTTGCTTCTTCTTTTTCTTTTTCTTCTTCTTCTTCTTCTTCTTCTGTGGTTGTGTGTGTGCGAGTTCGCTTCTTTTTCAGCAGCGTAACACCGCGCTACACATCAGCAAACAGCCAAACAATCCAAACTTCTTTCATATTTTCGCACACATGCAACAGACTATCGATTCCAGAAATCAGCGAGAAGAGCGCTTTCGTCCCGTCTTTCACCTTCCATCTTGGCATTCAAATCGATTCGACTCAACGTACAGAATCAGCAAATCGGGTAATAAACGCATATAAGACATCTGCCCGAGAATCGAATTCACAACCATTTCCGTTTTGTATTTGAACGAAGACGTTTCTGGATCGTTTTGGTTCAGGAAATGGTGATAGAAATCGAAAAGAACCGTCACATTGTCGATCACTGGCACGATTTCACTCCACGGAATTTCATCGCAGAGCAATTTCTACAATTCGTCCGGCATCCAATGAACCGACTTTGCAGGTTTCCAAGCAGGAAATGAAAAATTCTTGCGAAGTCGTGTGCTTCACTTGATCGACGGTCGGCGGATTCATCGCTTCTTCGTCCCCCATCTGCGCTAAACAGGGATAAACCGTGGAAGGCGAGACGACAAACAGCCAAACGAATCGATTCATAAAGGAAGTGAGTCGGAGATAATGCGTAATATCCGATTGCAACACATCTCTATCGATCATTCGATCACTTATTGCGTACTTTTGCTGCTTTATCTTCTTTTGAATCAACGCCATGAAGTCGTCAAAGCAGGAATTCGCGATCAACACCGCCGATTGGAACACGAACAAATACTGATTCGTGGCTCCCGTCGAAGGAATCGAGGCCACGTAATTCCTCGCTCTTCGCGGAATGTACTACGAATCAACCAAACCCCGATCAATTCTTACTTTCCTGGGTTGGAAAACAAGCGAACGCTTCGATGTGCCGGTCGAAATCAACGTGGTGCGGCCGGTCATTCGGTATTGGCCAATATCCGCTGCCACGGTCCTTCGAAGCGCTTGCTTGCGAGCGTTTTCGGCGGCTAAAAGCGAAGCAAGCGAAGGCTACATAAAAAAAGAATGGAAGCAAAACGCGAAGAGAAGACTGGGAAGAATCCGATTTGCCTTTCTGAAGAGCGGATTGGTAGATGATTTGGGGAGAATAATCGCAGAAGAGGAGCACGAAGATCTCGAGAATCATCCAATGGAAGGTAGATTCTTCTTCCTACAATAAATCAAATGAAAGGTAAAAAGAAAAAAACAAGACTGAGAGCAGAGAGAGATTCGATGATGTAGTTTGAATACATGGACTCGATGAGATCTTCATGAATCTACAGCTCATCAACGCAGTTTACAACAAGTCAATACATGACTGTAGATGTATTCCACATTTCGAGATGTTTTGTCTGTGTTTTCAATGTAACAAAGATTGCGAATCAGCGATAAGAAAAGCTCCACTTGAAGAGATTGGTGAGCATTTCTCTCCGAGACCGAGAGCTCGATTGACTCCGATACCAAGTCCAGTACAGAAGACAAAACATTCTAGAGATCATGGAAATAGAAAGCACTCACAGATTTGACTATGGAGTCTGCGAAATGAAGAAGCCCGTTGCGCATATCTCGATAGCAATTATCCTCTCGCTTTGCTGGAAGTGAATAGCACACAAATATCTTTAGAATCGTTGTTAATACTACTTCATCCTTTGAACTACACATCACTACCATATTCAATACCAACGATACAAAAATCGGAATCAATTTTTGGTCAATAACGCCATGCTTTCTCAATTGTAACGAATACTCCCGATATTCCTCATTTTCTTCTTTGATCTCACTACATGCATCAATCGCTTCACCGAATATGAATACCGCAAAATATATCGTAGTGGTCGAATAATATCCTCTCCAGCTACAAAAACCTTGTCATATTCGCCGTTTTCATTCAAAATTGTTTGCCAACGACCCAAGGCATCAAAGTAAAGAAGGTCCTCCCTATTGTCAAGAACCTCATCCATGATTATGAGTTTATCAAATTGAAATAGATATCGATTGAATGTGTGTTTAGCAATCTATTGAATATGTTATTTCTCAGAAACGTCCCTCCTCGCGAATGAAAGCATATTTTTGTCTCAAATTATGTTGGCTATCCCTAGCCTTTTGCAACAATTAACCTTTCAGCAGTTATACACACAATTCATCTAGAACTGCCTCCAGCTCGCTGAATGTGCTTTCAATCACATAATACTCTTATCCCACATTTCATGTGAAAAACTAATTCGAATTAGTAAGGTGTAAAGGGGGTATAGAGAATAATACAATTCTTATATATAAAATCAAGTACTGACTCGAATCCTACCCCCAGGGTGTATTATCGTTGTGTGGACTTCTCAGTTGAAGGTATTCCTTATCATATCATATTGTTAAGTAAGCATTGTGGCCATCTACGAGCCCCTGGCGTGATTGTTTTTTCTCCTTAGCAGCGGATTTCTAATTCTGTGTGTAGTTCACTATGAGCCCCGCACGTAAGGTTAAGATTGTGAAGAAGCGAACTGTGTCTTTCCCCCGTTTCCAGGCGGACAAGTTCAAAAGAATGAACGTAAATTGCGTGTTTGGAAGGTTATTTGTTTTAGCAGCACTGGAGAAAGCCCAAGGGTATTGATGGTCGCTGCAGACGTCGCTTCCGTGGTGCTACCTTGATGCCCAATATTGGTTACGGTTCGGATGCCAAGACCCGCAACATGCTCCCCTGCGGACTGTACAAGTTCACCGTCTCGAACGTGAAGGACCTGGAGCTGCTCATGATGCACAACGAGAAGTACTGTGCTGAGATCGCTCACAGCGTCTCTTCTCGCAAGAGAATGGAGATTGTCAAGCGTGCTAAGGAGCTGTCCATCCGTGTGATCAACGCTAAGTGATTTTTGCGAAGGGAAGGTTATAATGTGTAGGGCTCGCATTGCCAAGGTCGAGGCTGAGGCTGAATAAATCTTGGTATCGAAAAGGAATATTTCTTTTGTATTGTTTGTTCAACAAAGAGAGCAGAGATCAGCGATCTGTCCAACGAACTGCTTCACCATCGCTTCGCTTGTTTGTTTCCATTTGAACTCCAATTCCTGTGTGTTCTTCTTCTCTCCGCCCATGAACACGCCTTCCTTTCGATACTCCATCTCGCTCTCCACGTAATCGCGCGCTGCCAATCACATTTCCTCTTCCCATCCCCTACCGCTTCCATGCACTTCTTTGATGCCCGTGAACTCAACAAGCTCGCGGATGTTCGTCGCTGTCACGCCGCCTCCAGCCATGATTTGCAATCGGCCTTCTGCGATTTTGCGCATCTCTTTGATGGTTTCCTTGCCCTCCATGACCGTGTTGCACTACAGTGAAGAGCAGTCCATAGATATACGCCTCCGGAAGTGAGAATGCGATCCACGCCCAAGGCAATGCAATCCTGCAATAAAAAGAAGACTCGAGATGCCTACGCGAGTCGCTTCGAGAAGATCGACCGTCATATCGATAGCGCGATGGAAAGTAACACTACGCTCGTTGTGAGAAGCAGAACGGAGTACCTCAAAGGTCTGGCAGCTTCAATCAAGCGACGATTCTTCTCCATATCGACCTTTCCGTCCTTCGTTAAGCAACCAATGACAACACCACTACAAATCAATACTGTTTGCCGTTCTCCACTTCACTCCGATACTCTTGCAGGCCAAGATATCCTCGATCATGATCTGCATCTACCATCAACTAGGTCCCTCAAAAAATACCTCGTTTTCATTGTAGTAAAAATCTCCACCTCGGGGACGAATAATGACATTTACAGGAATGTTAATCGCGTTTTTCACCGTTTCTACAGCATGGTTTGAGATAATCATATCCTACTTATCATTCCATAACTGGGGGTAGTTCCTCCGTCGATGAGATTATCGCATAACTGCAAATGTAAGCGCTTTCCAAAAACCATTCAATACTTCGACTCTTCCCGCTCCTCCACGTTCTGCGTTAATAGCAGATTCCACACGGTCGATACAAACCTCCAACAGCATATTTGTGAAATGTGTGCCAAAACTCTCATATTGGGGGATCCCACAATCATAGCAATCTTTGTGAATTCTAAAGATCCGTGTATATACAGTTGATCTCTATTATATTCTATCCTATTTACAGCTTGTTGTAAGAGAAAACAACAAAACACTCTCCATCATTTCACTCCAACCTAATGTACGTACAGTGGCTATCACACATTCCATTTTTCTAATTATTCTAATCTTACTGGTTTTTTCGATTGGAGGATCAGATCATACACAATATCGGTACGTCGACATACACTTCCGACATGCTTCCCCTTTCTCAGAATACAGCCAAATGCAGACGCTATTGACAAGAGGAATTAGAAGTTGCGGTAGGACTCCAATAAAATCAGGGGCTAATTTGTGTAGTGAGCAAGCCTAGCGTTTATAGAGTCGTTGCTCGCTCTTTCGCTGCTGGGCCCGCTGCCCCCGCTGCTGGTAATGCCGCTGCTGCTCCCCCACCACCCCCAGAGAGACATCACGGAGGTCTGTCTGTAGTTTGTTATTTCGGAGCTGAACGCGTAGGATCAAGATCGTATCTTTACAAACCTTTACAGCCAGTATGATTGGCATATTGATAGTGCCATGGAGCGTGGTTTCTGGTACAAGACCAAGGAGCTTCTGGAAATGGGTCCCGATCAGATCATTGCGGATATCAAAGCGTCGGGTCTGCGTGGACGAGGAGGCGCTGCCTTCCCTTCCGGTTTGAAGTGGAGTTTCATGCCCAAAGCCTCCAAGGACGGTCGTCCGAACTTTTTAGTGGTAAACTGCGATGAGTCCGAGCCCGGAACCTGCAAAGTAGGCCTTGTAGCCATGTCCTCACCCTAATCAGGATCGCGAGATCATCCGGAAGGACCCGCACGCCCTGGTGGAAGGCTGTTTGGTAGCAGGTTACGCCATGCACGCGCGTGCGGCGTACATCTACATCCGCGGAGAGTTCTACAACGAGAGCATCCGTCTGGAGGAGGCGATCCACGAAGCCTATCAAAAAGGCTTCCTCGGGCGAAACGCCTGCGGCACCGGGTACAACTTCGACGTCTTCGTGCACCGCGGCGCGGGCGCGTACGTCTGCGGAGAGGAGTCTGCGCAGCTGGAGTCGCTGGAGGGCAAGCAGGGCAAGCCGCGTCTGAAGCCGCCATTCCCCGCGAACGCGGGTCTGTACGGGTGTCCGACGACGGTGACGAACTGCGAGACGGTGTCGGTGTCGCCGACGATCCTGCGGCGCGGCCCGGAGTGGTTCGCGGGGTTCGGCCGGAAGAACAACGCGGGCGTGAAGCTGTTCGCGATCAGCGGACACGTGAACAACCCGTGCGTGGTGGAGGAGGAAATGTCGATCTCGCTGCGCGAGCTGCTCGAGAAGCACGCGGGCGGCGTGCGCGGAGGCTGGGACAATTTGCAGGCGGTGATCCCCGGAGGCGCGTCGACGCGCGCGCTGAATAAAGTGGGTGCGGAGAGGAAGATGGACGGTAGGACATGTGCGATGTGGCGCTGATGGACTACGACTCGCTGGGATCGTTCAAGTCGGGACTGGGCTCCGCGGCCGTGATCGTGATGGACAAATCGACGGATATGGTGAGAGAGAGAGAGGAAGAGGTGATGGGTAGATGGCGGCGATTCGGAATCTGTCGCACTTCTATATGCACGAATCGTGCGGACAGTGCACGCCGTGCCGCGAGGGACTGCCGTGGGTGTACGATATCATGTGCCGAATGGAGAGAGGACAGCTCGAGGAGAGAGAGATCGACATGCTCATGGAGATCGGAACGCAGATCGAGCTGCACACCATCTGCGGTCTCGCGGATGCGGCCATCTGGCCGATCGAGGGATTGATGCGGTCGTGGAAGAAGGAGATCCTGGAGCGATCCCGCCATCCCGAGAACTATCACCCGGAAGACTATTTCCAGAGAGCGTGGAGCGGAAAGAAATTATAAGCCTTGTTGTGCGGTGTTTGAGCGAAACAATCAATGAATCTATGAATCTATGAATCAATGAATCAGAGAGTAATCTGATGAATGGATCAATCGATCGATTGATCGATCGATCGCTACTCTTCATTCGATTGATTCCACTTCACTTTCATTCTCTCATTCACCGCCTTCCTTTTCATTCAATCAATTTCTTTCGATTTCCAAACAAACACATCCTCATTCAATCAAACAATAAACGATCCTTCTCTCCCTTTCCTCACTGCACGAACGCGCCTCCATAGTCCATTTCCTCGCTCATGCCTCCATTTGCGTCCTCCAAATCATCCATCGCGTCCTCCTTCATGATCTCCTCTTCCAACATCGCCTGTCTCTGTTCCAAAATCTCCTCCCGACTCTCAATCCGACTCTCTCCTCCCATTTCCTTCTTCCCAAACACATGTCGATTCAGCATCGGGATCTCCTCCATCTCCTCTTCCTCTTCTTCCTCCTCCTCCGCATCCAGCACCAAGAACCGATCATCCTATTCCTCACTTCCTTCCCTCACCTCCACATCGAAAACCGACTCCACGTTCTGCACCACATTCACGTTTTCATCGCCCAGCGCGCCCACATTGAACGTCTCCGAGAACTCTCCCACGATCTTCAGCCCCTCGCCTCTACGCCGCATCTCCGCTCTCTCTCATCCCTACTGCGCGGCCAGCAATCGCTGCGGCGGCTTCACATAAAACGGGATCATTCCGCTGTTGAAATCGCCGATCACGATATACGCCGCCGCGCGCAGATCCGGAATTCCTCCGCGTTTCAGCTTCCCTCGCGCGCGTGCCACGTACGCCAGCATCTCGTGCGCTAGAGCTCACCGCGGGGATCCATCGCTACCATCGCGGAAGGCGGGAATCTGGTAGAAGGCCTGGAGATACTGGAGGTTCTTGGGCAGCGACCGCATCATCTGCTCGACGGTTCCCTCGGGATCCTCGAGTTCCTGGGCGTGAGGGAGCGCACAAACTCGCGAACGTGGACGTCGACGCAGTTGCGGAGCAGGTAGGACTTGTTGTTGCTGTTGAAAATGATGCCCGGACAGTCCAGCAGCGAAATGTTCCGATCGATCTGGATTTCCTACGCTCCACCGCGGCCTCCTCGGCTACCTGCACCGTCCGCGTGAAGCCGGCCGTCGAGGAGACGCCGACGGCGCGCGAGCGCTTCAGCGAGTTGATGAGAGAGGATTTGCCGACGTTCGGATAGCCGATGATGCCGACCGTGATCGAGGTTTTCACGCCGTTGGTGCGGCAGTAGTTTTTGAGGAGCTGGAGGAGGCTGTCGGCGCCGAGACAGACGCTGCTCGCCATGAGCGTGCTGTTCGCATTACGGATGTTCATGTCGTTGCGACCGAGATGCGAGCGCTGGGACTGGGTGGAGGCTTTGAAGAGAATGGTGGGGTATTCTTGGCGAAGCAGAGAGAGCCACTAGTGGATCGAAAAGGAGAAACAGTGGAAACAGTGAGAGCGACTTGCTTGGGAACGAGATCGATTTTGTTGACTAGAAGAATGATTCGCTTGTTGGGATCTTTCTCGAGGATTTTGTGCTCGATGAGCTTGCTGCGGCAACCCTGGGAGAGAGAGGAAAGATGATGAACGATACCATGGGGTCACGAGCATCCAAAACCATGATAATCACATCGCTTTTGTTTATGACTTCTTTTAGCTGGCGGAAAAACGTACGGCGCGTTTGCTGGGCGGCACGATCCTCTTTTAGAGATTGCGTTTGCTACACAGGTAAAATAAATGCAGCAGAGACTACAAAGCTCTGGTCTTCCAGTTTCCGATTCTTTTCAAACTGCTCTGTCTTCATCTGAGCTTGTTGCACCATACTTTCAATCTATTCGTCAAGAAATCAAGGAGGCAACATACAGATATATTACTTTTGTTTCCATTGCCCTCAAATTCGTTCTGGACCGACTCCACCGCTTGCTGCACTCTCTGCTTCATCAACTTGCTCTACTCATCATAACCAATATATCTGTTTTGACTCTCTGCTCAAGCTTCTGCTTTTCACTTCCAAAGTGCGGCAGACCAATTTCCTTCGTTGGTTTGCGAATCTTCCCTTCTCTCATAGCTTTCAGCTTGTTTTGCCTGCCTTTTCGCATCGCCAACCTGTTCTGCCACTAACTCCTCTTTTCATTCCCTACAGAGTATGTTCCACGGACCTGCTTTGCAGTTGGCATGTTTCGCTAACACCCAAAAACGATTCTAACAAACAATGCAGTGTCGTACTAGTATCAAACAGAAAAAAAGCGCAGCAGATCACTTTAATTCTTAGCAGCATCATTCTTCATTCTGATCATAACTTGCTTCATTCTTCCCATGTCATGCTCTCCCTGAGCGCTCATGTCAACCAGCTTGTTCACACGCTCCCAAGGATTCGCACAGTCCATATCCTGCTCCATTCCTTCCTTCAGCTTCGACTCCTCCTCACGATTCATCTCGGCCTTGGAAGCCAGCTTCTTCTTTCTCTCTTCGCTCCAGGCAAGCAGCTCGTCACGAGCAGCCTTGAGGATTTCCTGCTTCTTCTCCATGGCAGCCTTATCCTTGGCCTCGCAGCGCTCTCTGAATTGCATGTTCCACTCGCGGGTGAATTTGAACTCATCCACGACGGGAGCAGCAGGAAGAGGAGCAGCAGCAGGGGCAGCCTCTCCAAACGGATCCTCAGCCACATCGTTGCTCTGATCAGGGGCATCAGCGAAAGGATCCTACAGATTAGCGATAGACCTGCGATCTTACATCCACAGGCTGATCAGCGGCCGCATTACCCTGGAAATCTAGAGAACGGTTAGATCCATCAAAGTGAATAATTAATCATAGATCCAGATCGCAAGGCACCACATGTTCAAAAAACAGGTTATTGAGCACCTCTTATTGCCACCAAGCACCTACCATCAGCAAAGAAATCGTCAGACATATTTGTAGGTTTTTATTCAGATAGAAATTGAACGAAATACGATGATTTTCCAATTCCACGGCAGAATCCAATTTACTTTGAATCACGATTTATATAGGGAATCTTTATTAATAATCCTCATATCTGCACTCCCGATTAGATCGAGATTTCCGTTTTCATCAGAACGGAAAGATCTTACAACCTCCTGCCACGTTCCATCTCTTCACCTCACAACACAGACCCATGCCGATCCTTTCCTTAACCGCTCCATCTTCCCTCCCGTTTTCAACAAACACATTCTCAACAAAACAGAACTTTGACCACTCCAATCCGCTTTTTCTCCGCGCTTACATGGCCTTGACCTCCCAGACACGGATCACATTATCGGTGTATCCGGCAAAGAGCGTGGCTCCGTCGAGCGACCAGCAGAGCGAGGTGCAGTAGGGCACGAGAGCCTTGGCCGAGCGAGGCGGGAACTCGGGCTTGACGCTGGCGACGCGCTCCTTGGTCTCCAGATCGAACAGCACGATCTCGTTCGTGGTGGCCACCGCGATCCAGTAGTTCGCGGGCGAGAACACCAGGTCCGTCACCGGGTCCTCCAGCGTCAGGCGGAAGTTCTCCACGCCGTTGGCCAGGTCCCACACGATCACGCAGCCGTCCTTGCCGGCCGAGGCGCAGAGCACGCCGTCCGGAGAGACCACCACCTTGTTCACCACCTGCGAGTGGCCGATCAGGTTGTACTCCACCTTCATCGTCTCCAGGTTCCACACCTTCACCAGCTTGTCGTACCCGCACGACACGATGCGAGGCTTCTCCTCCATGTTCGGAACGAAGCGCACGCACGTCACCCAGTCGTTGTGGCTCTCCTTGTCCAGAGTGAACTGGCACTCACCAAGGGTGTTCCACAGCTTGATCGTACGGTCGCGGCCGCAAGACATGATCAGGCGGTTGTCAGGGCTGAAGCACACAGACAGAACGTCCTTCTTGTGACCCGACAGCGTCTTCTCGCTCTTGCCCGTCTTCACGTTCCACAGACGCACCGTTCCATCCCAAGAAGCCGTCAGAGCGTACTGACCGTCCACGGACAGACTCACCTCCTCAACGATGTGAGAATGGCCCTGCAGCGACTTCACAGGGGTTCCGCAAGACATCACCAGAGAGGGGTCGTCAATCATGTCACCCGCCTGGAGATTCCACACCAAGCAAGTGTGATCGCGAGAAGCAGACACCAGAGTGTTGGCATCAGCCGGAGAAGCAGCGATGGAGGTCACCCATCCGTTATGGCCCTGAAGGCATCCACGAAGACTGATTTGAGCAGACATTTTCTACAAATCGGAATTAGCAATTTTGCATCCAAATCATCCACACCGAATGGATTTTACTCACAAAACAACTACTTACAACCAAAAAATCAGTTAAATCAAAGTTCCTATAAGAAAAGCAAATTAAAAGGAATCACTCCAATATTTGTGTGTTTTTTTATTCTTCGTCTTTTCTTCAGACAACTTTATAGGAATGGTTTCTATAGGCAGTGGGTAGTTTAAATATGAATTTTGAGTGCAGAGTGTGAAGAGAAGTAGAGTTATGTCGGAATTAGAGTGTATGGCAATAACCATAGGTTCTAAATGGGAAATTGAACATAAAAATGATAGAAAAGTCGAGTCAATTGGGAAATGACGAAAGTGCTAATAGAGGGTGAGATTGTGGTTCTTTTTGTGATAGTGATAGCAATTTCCTTGTTGAATGTAGACAACTAAGCAAAATTATTGAACGAATGTACTCTTCCTCGTGATTATTGACACGCCTCAAACATTAGCCTCAAATAAAGGCCTTAGCACATTCGTAGACACATTTTATTCACAAACAGTCAAACAATATTTAATTGATTAAGTAATATATTATTTAATTCGATGACTCCATATCCCCAGCATCCAGCCATTCATCTCCCGAAATCTACGCATCATTCTCCATCCATGCTCCTACATCCGAGTCCATTCCCGCATCCATATTCACCGTAGCTTGCTGCACCGGCTCCATCGTCACTTTCGTCTCCACAGTGGGCTGAGTGGGCTGAACAGGCTGAGTGGGCTGAACAGGCTGAGCGGGCTGAGCGGACTGGACAGGTTGGACAGGCTGGACAGGCTGGACAGGCTGGGCAGGTTGAATGGGCTGAATAGGCTGAATAGGCTGCATGGTACGTGTCGTTCGGGTTCGGGCTGTTCTAACAGGTTGCATAGGTTGCATAGGCTGCATGGGTTGCATAGGCTGCATGGGTTGCATGGGCTGCATAGGCTGCATGGGCTGCATAGGCTGTTGGTACATGGGAGGAGGATAAGCGACGGGCATGGGAACCGTGGCTTGCATTTCCTACGATTCATCGCGAAGAGGAACGACTACGGGCTGCTCACGATCGCGATGAGAACGTCGATGAGCGTCGCGACGCATCGACTTTCCAGTATGGCGCGATCGATTCTTGGTAGACGAGTGTTGACGCGAACGACCATCCAAAGCATAATTGCCTTCATAAGATGGGCGTGTGGCTGCATAGCGAGGCTGGTGACACACGGCGCACACGTACACCTCCGCGTTGTTGCGGCTGTGGCACACATCGCAGATCCAGCCGTTCCCGAACGAACCGTCGATCTGCATACGCGAATTGCCCGACTTCGTTCGGCGAAGCAGCGACGCCTTCTCCGGTTCTTCACGACTAAACAACTCAATCGGATGCTTCGACCTTACGGCGTGAAGAAGAAATCGAAGAGATCGGGATTCTTGAAGAGCAGGATCAACCCAATCACTCCGCCGAGAAGGAACACGAAGATAACAACCGTGATCACCGTATTCCACAGCTGCTCGCGCGGCTCGCGAGGAATCTCGATCGGCGACGACTGCGAATAGAACACGGCGGAATCCTTGCTGACGTCCTGTCCCACGAAGCACTGCACCAAGTAGGACTTGCTGGGATCCACGCGGCCGAACTCGCCGACCTCTCTGTGCTTGTTTCCCAGGAGAATGGTGCGCTCCTTCGCTCCGGCCATCGTCATCAAATAGCAAACCGACTGCAGATTCGCGTTCGTGTAGTAGTTGAACGTGATCGTGGTCTTCTCTCGATGGATATCGCTGATCGAAATCACCACTGCGCTTCACCCTTTATCGCCATCCTCCTACCTTCCTCGGTCGTGAACGTCTGCGCGATATCTTCGATCGTAGGCTTCATCGCGACTCCGTATTCGTTCTCCGCGTAGCAGTACGCCTTGTACGAGGTCCGCGCGTTCAAACCGTTGATTTCCCAGCTTCCAGACGCGGAGAAATAGTGCTGCGGGATCGCTAGAAGATCGTAGACCGACGGAGCAGCGTCCGAAGCGAGGCGCGCTGTGCACCAAACGTAGGTGGGACTCGCGATTCCGATGTTGAGCACGACAGAATAGGGAGTCACACTCGCAACGGAGAGATTGAGCTGCGGAGGCTCCGAGTTCACAGTGTCGATTTGGTCATGGGAATTCACGTCATGGTCATCCTCTCCATCGTTATCATTGGCATTCTCATCATTTGTGTTGGTGTTGTCGTTATTCGCAGAATCGGCATTGGCGGCGTCTTCTTCTTCGTCGTCGTCGTTGTCTTCCTCCTCTTCCACCACTTTCTTTGAGGCTTTTTGCTTCTTCTGCGTTTTCTTAGACTTCGATTTGGAAGCCTTCTTCTTCTTTGGAACTTCTTCCTCTTCTTCCTCTTCGTTTGCCGTTTCTTCCTCTTCCTCTACTATTTTCTTTGCAGCCTTCTTCTTCGGCTTCTCTTCCTCTTCAGCCTCTTCAGTTTCTTCAGTTTCTTCTTGTTTTTCTTCGGTTTCTTTTTCCTTTTCTTCGGTTTCGGTTTCTTCCGTCTCTTCAGCCTCCTTGACTTTCATTACTTTCTTCTGCACTTTCGGCTTTTCTTCCTCTTCCTCTTCCTCCTCTTCAGTGGTTTCCTCCTTCTTTTCAGCCTTTTCCTTGGGAGTTTCTTCTTCCTCTTCCTCTTTTTCTTTTTCTTTTTCTTCCGATTCAGTTTCAGTTTCAGTTTCAGTTTCAGTTTCTTTCTCTTTCGGCTTCTCTTCTTCTGCTTTCTCAGTCTTTTCCTCCTCCTCCTCTTCTTCTTCTTCTTTAGTAGCTTCCTCCTTCTGCACAGTCTTCTTTTTAGGCTTCTCTTCTTCTTCTTCCTCCTCTTCCTCTTCTTTGACAGTTTCCTTCTTTTTTGGCTTCTCTTCCTCTTCCTCTTCTTCCTCTTCTTTGACAGTTTTCTTTTTTGGCTTCTCTTCTTCTTCCTCCTCTTCCTCTTCTTCAGTAGCTTCCTCTTTCTTCACAGTTTTCTTTTTTGGCTTCTCTTCTTCTTCTTCTTCCTCCTTTTCCTCTTCTTTCACAGTTTCCTTCTCAGTCTTTTCTTTCGGCTTCTCTTCTTCTTCTTCCTCTTCTTCAGTGGCCTCTTCCTCCTTCTTCACGGTCTTCTTCTTGGGTTTCTCTTCTTCTTCTTCTTCTTCCTCCTCCTCAGTCGTTTCTTCTTTCTTAGTTTTCTTTTTCTCCGCCTTTTCTACGGGTTTTTCTTCTTCTTCCTCTTCTTCTTCTTCCTCCTTCTTCACAGTCTTCTTTTTAGGCTTCTCTTCCTCTTCTTCCTCCTCTTCCTCTTCAGCCTCTTTCACAGTTTTCTTCTTTTTAGGCTTATCTTCCTCCTCCTCTTCTTCTTCTTCTTTCACAGTTTCCTTCTTCTCAGCCTTTTCTTTGGGCTTATCTTCCTCTTCATCCCCTTCGTCCTCGGTTTCCTCTTCCTCTTTAGCGACTTCTTTCTTCTCAGCCTTTTCCTTGGGCTTTTCTTCCTCTTCATCCCCTTCATCCTCGGTTTCCTCTTTCTCTTTCACAACCGTTTTCTTCGGTTTTTCTTCCTCCTCTTCTTCAGCTTCTTCAGTTTCTTCAGTTTCTTCAGTTTCTTCTTTGACAGTCTTCTTTTTAGGCTTCTCTTCTTCAGCTTCTTCTTCTTCTTCCTCTTCCTCTTTCACAGTTTCCTTCTTTTTAGGCTTCTCTTCTTCAGCTTCTTCTTCCTCCTCTTCTTCAGTAGCTTCTTCCTTCTTCACAGTTTTCTTTTTTGGCTTTTCTTCTTCTTCTTCTTCTTCTTCCTCCTTTTCCTCTTTTACAACTTCTTTCTTCTTGGGTTTCTCCTCTTCTTCCTCTTCCTCTTCTTCAGTGGCTTCTTCCTCCTTCTTCTCAGCCTTTTCTTTGGGTTTCTCCTCCTCTTCCTCTTCTTCCTCTACTACTTTCTTTACAGTTTTCTTTTTAGGCTTTTCTTCTTCTACCTCTTCCTCTTCCTCAGTCTCTTTCTCTTCTGCCTTCTTCCTGGGTTTTTCCTCCTCTTCTTCAGTTTCCTCCATCGCCTTATTCTCTGCTTTCAAAGCCTCTCTTTCTATTTTAGCATCCAAACTTTCTTCCTCTGCTTCCTTCTGCTCATTCAAGTCCTTCTCCTTGATATCCTCTTCAGATACCTTGTTATCGTCTTTGACTGCAACACCATTTTCAATATCGTTGAGAATTTTATCACCATCCTCGCTATTGTTGCTTGAACTGGTTATTAGTTCTGACTTGGTCTACAGCATATTCAAAGGATAAAGAATCTTACTTTCAAGCTTTCCTTAGTATCAGAATCCTCCGATACATGTTTCTTGGACTTTTTACTCTTACGACCTTTTTTACTCTTCAGGCGTCGGTCGCTTAGATCATTTGATACAAAAGCGGATTGAGAACCATGACTGGTAGCGATTACATCTAAAATAAGTACAAAACAAAGATTGGAAACCATTGACTGACTTAAAAGAAACCAAGTCATTGTTTGGATTACCGCTGCTCTCTCCCCGTAAAAGAGATTTGGAATTCACAACAGCACACAACAATAAATCTAACTGTAACAAATACCTTTTATTACTTACACAAAAATAAGAACACGCGCCTGCAGTTCATAGTTCACACTAGACAGCTATACTTCAGAAACTGTATAGGTTTTAGTACCCAATGACAAACTATTATAATCACTATACATGACTTGCTCCATAAATATTTCGAATTGAGAACGTTGTCGGTGCACGCATAGCCTAATTGGATAAGGCGCTTGCCTACGGAGCAAGAGATTGTGGGTTCAAGTCCCACTGTGTGCTACCTTTTCCTTTTTTCTTATTCACACAACTCATGAAAGAATCACACAAAATATAGATTTCCCTTTCCTAGCATTCCATACACATCCTGATTCTCAACAAACAAGACTAAAATCAATCAAGCAACTTGCTCCACAATACTGTGCAATCCTTTAAACCCATCCGACCCATCCTTCGATCGCCCTTACGACCAGGCCTCGACGACATATCTTCCCTCGTTCTTGATGCTGTTCAGCATGTCCATGGCCTCCTGCTCGCTCTTCTTATACACGCTCTCGAAGGCCTTGAGAATAGCCTTTTCGATGGCGGTGGGCACGCTTCCAGCAGGTCCGCAATAGAAGAAGTATCCCTTCTTTTCGACGAGCACGTCGCAGACCAGCGCTGGATTCTCCTCCACCTTGTGCTGGATGTACACCTTCTGCGCCTGGTCGCGCGAGAACGCGGGCAGCAGGTGGCTGATCACGCCCTCCTTCTCCAGCGCCTCGAACTCCTCGCCGAACAGGAACTCCTTCGCGCGGTAGCGCAGTCCCATCATGAAGACCACGTCGCCGATCGTCTTGCCGCTGTGCTTCTGCACGGCCTTCTCCTGCACGAACGCGCGGAACGGCGCGATGCCCGTGCCCAGACCCGCCATCAGCAGCGGCGCCGAGCTGTCCTCGGGCATGAACAGCGCTCCGCCGTTCACCGACACGGCGACCTGCACGGGTCCGTTGCTGAGGTCCAGGCCGTCCAGGTAGCCCGTGCACAGTCCCGTCTTCTCCGCGCCCGACGCCGTCTTCCACGTGTTCACCACGATGCACAGCTCCAGCAGGTGCGGGTCGCGCAGCTGCGACGAGGCGATCGAGTACAGGCGCGGCTTGATCGCGGGCACCACTTCCAGCAGGTGCGCCAGGTCCACGCGGCAGCGGAAGTGCTCCAGCACGTCCATCACGCTCGCCGTCTCCGCCGCGAAGCGCTGCGCCAGCTCGCCCTCGCCGCGCGAAAGCGCCGCCAGCTGCGCGGCCTCGTCACCCTCCGCGAAGTAGCTCATGGTCTTGAAGAGCTTGCGCGAAGGACGGCCCGCGAGGTCGAGGATCTCCGCCGCGATCTTGCCCACCGTGGTGGTCTTGGGGAACTTGTCCGCCAGGGACTCGCTGCTGCTCGCGATGCCCACGATCGTCTCCGCGTCCTGCGCCAGGTACGCGCAGAAGCGCTGCACCAGCGCGTCCGTGTTCTTGGGGTAGATCGCCAGCGCGTCGCCCACCTTGTAGCGGATGTCCGTCTTGTCCAGGTCGAACACCAGGTGCATGATGTTGCGGTCGTAGTCCACCGGCGTCATCCGCGTCTTCTTCACCAGCGGGATCAGCTGCGCGTCGCCGGGCAGGAAGCGGCGCCGCGACACGTGCGCGCTCGCGTCCTTCACGGACACCGCGAAGTTGCTGGGCGGCACGCCTTCGTAGACCGGCTCGGGCACGCCGCTCTGCTCCCAGAACACCGGCACCCAGTTCTCCCACGCCGTCATGTAGCGCTCCGGATCCTGGTCGTTCGCCAGCGTCAGGTCGATCGACTTGGCGCCCAGGGCCTGCAGACGGGCGTGGATCTGCTTCGCCGCCGCGTTGTAGTTGGCGAAGCTCGAGTCGCCCAGACCGAACACGTGGATCTCCACGTTCTTCAGCAGGTCGCTGGGATGCTCCTTGCTCGCCTCCGCGAAGAAGGCCTTCGCGTTCTTCGGGAACTCGCCGTTGCCCGCCGTCGAGCACAGGATCACCACGTGCTTCTTCGTCGCCAGGTCCTCCATGCTCATCTCGTCCAGCTCGTTCACCGTCACCTCCACCTGGCGCGCCTCCGCCTCCTGCATCAGCGTCAGCGCCAGATCCTTCGAGTGGTTCGTCTCCGATCCGTACAGAATCGTCAGTTCGTAGCTTGATCCAGATCCAGAACTCGTCGCCGAAGCGGCAGCCAGCTTGGCGAGGGGCATGGCGCGACGCACGAAGTCGTCGTGGCGTTCCTGGAGATGGTTCTTCAGCTCGGCGTGCAGCTCCTCGGCCACCTGCGGACGCGTGCGATTGAGCTCCAAGAATCGGCGCTCGTTGGCCAGGAAGTTCTTGAGGTCATCGCTCAGATCCTTCTTGTAGTCCAGCTGGAAGGCGTTCTTGCCGTTAGCGCTGAGACGCGGGTCGTAGCGGTAGAGCGGCCAGTAGCCCGACTTCACCGCCAGCTCCACCTCCTTGAAGGTAGCGCGCATCGCGGGCACGACGTTCTGCATCAGGCAGGGGCAGTAGCAGAAGATGATGGACGGTCCGTTGTACGACTCGGCCTCGTTGAACGCGCGGATCGCCTGCGCCATGTCGGCGTAGAGCGCCACGGAGGCCACGTACACGTTGCGGTAGGACATGGCCATCAAGCCCATCTCCTTCTTGTGCGTGAACTTACCGCCCGCGGCGAACTGCTGCACGGCGGACATGGGCGTGGCCTTCGACTTCTGGCCGCCCGTGTTCGAGTACATCTCCGTGTCCAGCACCACGATGTTCACGTCCTCGCCGGTCGACAGCACGTGGTCCACGCCTCCGTAGCCGATATCGTACGCCCAGCCGTCGCCTCCGATGATCCACTGCGAGATCTTCGGGAACAGATCGCGGTCGCGGATCACCGCGGCCAGCTTGGCGGACACTTCCTTGCCCTCCAGGCCGCTCAGCACGTCCATCACCTGGTTCGCCACGCTCTGGCAGCGGCGGCCATCGCTGTAGTTCTCCAGCCACTCCGCCAGCAAATCGGCGAGTCCCTCGGGCAGCGTCGCGG